TTTAACCACATAATTTCGACTACTCTCCATCAAAGAAAAAAATATACGACCATGCTCAAAACGATGGAAGAAAAGTGGAATCTTCCACATGATACAGGATTTGAGAATTCAAAAAACTTTAAACTTCTCAAAATAGAAGATCTAATAAGCTCAAAAACATGTGAGATTTTTGCAAATCTAATTTTTAACCTACTAGAAATTGGGCCAAGTATAGTGAGCGTAACACTCCAATTGGACCTAATTAATAGAGTGGGCTTCCAATTGGGCATAATTAATAGAGTGGGCTTTGTAAAGCCCATAAATAATTCACCAAGGCCCATCTTACCCCAATCGGTAATTGATCTCTCATGAGACCGCCGACGGCCAATGGCATTTTCCGGTGAGCTACACATCTTTTCTGGCCAGATCCGGCCATGATTGACCGCCATAGGGTTATAAATTTTCGGCAAGGTTGAGAGATACAGCCACTGCGACGGTGGCCAACACCGGATGAGATGCGTGTCATCTTCGGTGAAGACATCTTCGATCCCCTCCGACGACGGGCTAGGGAGAGCCAAGCTTCTGGGAAGGTGGTTGAGATGAGGCTCGACATCAAAGGGCGAAGAGCTAGGGCCACGAAGGCGAGCGCATCGCAACGACCCCCTAGACCCGGTGCCGTTCAGATCTGATGAGGTTGCCGTCTTTTCTAGCCATTGATGAAGCATTGCAGGGTTAAGCGGACAAGGTGGTTTTGGGTGTAGGTCTGTCGGGTCCGGCGGCTTTGGAGGAGGAGGGGGCTTCACTAGAATCGTAACCGTCGTCTCGAGAGTTCGAGGGAGGGAGACGGAAAGAGCCCGGAGCATAACCCCAACCTCACATGAAATCGCCAAGGGGTGAGTCCGGCGGGAGTCGGCTAAGCACGGAAGTCCGGGAAAATTGTGTCTTGTCGACGAGACACACCGGCGAGGAGAGACAGATTTGCGGGTCAGTGAGACGGGCCCTTCCAAGCTGCTCCTCGTCATCTTCACGCTCGACCGACGACACCACCGGAGCTTCATTCTAGTCGGGGAAGGTGGTTGTCAAAAAAACTTCGGAATCCGTGCCTGAGAGACTAAATCTCTAGGGCGAACTCACCAATCGAAGTTTTTAGATTAACTTTGGTTCCATCACGTTGCTTATAAATAAAAATTCTGAGCTCATGCATCAAAGCAATATGTTTACGTTACATATTGATTACATAATTAAACTTTCTTTAACTATGGATGCAGAAAAGAGTATTTTCCGTGTTCGTCATAAGAAACACCAAAATATCATCAGGATTCAAGAGCTGTGCTTTAGTATTAATGTATATTCTTAGCAAAAAAAAAAAGAAAAAAGGATTTCGGTATGTATATTTTTTTGTAGTTGATTTTTGGGAATAATTTGGTGAATATAGCATCTGATCCATATATTCGAAGTATGAAACCATATTCGTGGGTGTCATTTGACATTTCTTCCTCAAGTTCGAGCAGATCACTTATATGAAATCATATGTGAAAGAACTTTGTGAGGTTTGCGACGAATACAGACGACAAAGGTTTACTAAAACCTAACAATGGACTTAATTTTTCAATAGTTTTTTCATTATGTTAAGAAAATGTGGACAATCTTTGATAGATCTGAAAACATATATAGGTTATTAGTAAAATAATTATAAAAGAGTACTTACGTTGTCGTTCCAATTATGTATTTCTTTGTCATTTTAAAATCTTTTAATAGTTATATAATTGACAAAAATGTAAGTTACAATACATATAATTATGATTTCTGGCTACAAAAATAAATTTAATAAAAATGTAAATTTATACATACAAGCTGTAAAGATATATTTAGTCATGACGGCAAAAGAAAAGATATATAATCATATTCTTTGATGAAAATTCAAAAAAAAAAGATATAAACTCATAGTATTACTTTATGCAAAAAGAAAACTATATTTTAAATTAATTACTATACGATATATTCTTTTCTTTTTGTCGGCTTCGTAGCTTATATAACTGTATAAGAAAATTGTCATGATAAAAATATGTTATTTAGGATGGTGCTAATTGTCATAGTATTACTATACAC